ATATATATATATATATATATATATATGTATATATAAAAAATATAACACAAGTCTTTGTACACTTGAGAGTACCTATGTTATCTATGTGTAATTTTTTTTTTTTTGGCCTGGATGTGTGAATATCTGTGAGGGCATATCTTTCACATGTTCTCGTGTACCTGATGTGTGTGTTTACATGATTGTACTTGGGAATATGTGTGTGTGTGGCATATGCAGCATGCACATGTGTTAGCAATGCATTTATGAGCATACACTTAAGTGTCTGGGTGTGTATGAATGTGTAAATAGGCATATCCATGTGATATCTAGGTATCAGTCTAATGTTGGAAGACTAAATGCATAAAGACCTTTGATGGCCATGTCAGTGATTAAAACCCATGTATACATCATGCAAGCAAATGGACTGATGCATGACATCAGTCCATACATGAGGGTGATATGTGTGGGTTTACTGCTATTGTGCCAGCATTCCAACTCTTCCTCCTCCCTCCACACAGATATCAACATGGCTGGAGAGCCCAAGCCCAACAGACCCAAGGGGCTAAAGAGAGCAGCATCTGCTATATACAGGTGGGGCACTCTGTCTGTCTATCTGTCTGGGTAGAATGAGTCCCTCTTTCCACAGAGGGAGTAAACAGTGGTGATGGTGTGCTGAGCCTAGACCTGGGGGAGGTGTTTGGAGATGAGGGCCTGTGGAGAGTGGGTTGAGTGGCCATCCCTAAGCTCTGGCCCTCTCCCCTTTGTTTCCCCAGTGGCTACAGCTTTGACTATGATTACTACCGGGACGACTTCTACGACAGGTGAGCAGGGGAGGGGCGTGCCCAGGCATGAAACAGCCAAGCTGGAAGGGTCCTGAGAGATTGCTGGTGCAGCCTACTCAGTTCTCCAAATAGAACCAAGCCCACAGATGTGGACAGGCTTTGGCCCATGATTCTTTACAAGTCAGTGGCAGAGCTGGGACTAGGATCCAATTTTGCAGATGCCCAGGCCAGCACCTCCACACCTACCACCTCACACTGTCTCACACTCTGACTACCCCTTCTTTCTCCCGGTCCAGAGGAGACTCCAGTGGGCTGAATAGCCAAGAGACATTTAAGCCTATTGGGCTCCAGAACTGGGCGTAGATAGTTTGAATCCTTGTACCCATGCCTCTCAGTTTCCTGACTTATGTGAGAGGCTAGCTGGTTGGGAGAAACCCCAGAGCTTCAGCTGAGCCTCTGTACTCTGTAGATAAGGGACCAGCAGCTGTTTGGGGATCTTAGTCCCAGGTGGGCTATGGTCCATTCTTCACCTCATGCCTACCCAGACTCCAGCCTTGTTGCAGTTTCCCACTCCATTAGCACCTGCTATATTCTTGGCACTAGCTATATTCTTGAATGGAAACCATGGTGGAGACTGGCCCAAATCTCTTTTCCTCACTTCCCTTTCTCCAGCTAAGCCTAGCCCAGATTGTCCAGAAACGACAGCCTATCTGAATGTCAGTTTTTTCACCTATGAATGGTTTCAGGCAACAGTGTGGTACAATAGAAAGTGGCTTAGTCTGGGAGTCAGGAAACAGGTGTCAGTCTCAGTTCTGCCACTGAATGGATTGTGTGACTTTGGGTAAATCCCTCTACTGAGTCTGTGAAATGGACTTGCACCAAGTGATCTCTCAGGGCTCCTCCAGCTCTGAGATTTTGTGGTTCAGTGATTCTGACCAAGGCCAGAGCCGCCCCCTCCCCTTGGGGGCAGAATTGCAAAGTCTAGGATTAGATATATTCCATCTCCAGCCCTCACTCACCTCCCTTCCCCACAAAGCAGGGGCTTCCTAAAGAAAGGAATACTAAGAAATGGGCATTGAATTGCTCCTAATGGCAGATTTCCTGGCTGTCATTGGGAAAGTGGTCCTAAATCATACCCTGAGGCTGCAATTTCCTGCTGGAAAGTGATAGCAACAAATGTGGGAGAGACACCTCCTCAGCCTGCCGAGTTTCTGCCTGATGAACAGAGAAAGAAGCCCTACTAGAGAGGACTGGGGGAGTGGGGTTTGGGAGAACAGCACACAGTCAGAAACCCTAGGATTTGATAGAGCTCACCAACTATAACATCCAGCTGGGCCTTTGGCCTCCCTATCTAAAAAAGAGTGGAGTGATTATGGAAGCCTAGGTTAGAGAAGGGCTTACATTCTAGCCCTGTCTCTGAGTTCATGGCCTCTTAGTTGAGGGTCTCCACACCTTGGTGTTTTAACTGTCTCACCTTCTAAAGTGTATGCTTTTTAACCATGTTCTTTCATGCTTTACCCTCACAGCAGAGATGGGTAGACACTGAATTTGAGTAGCCATCCTCATTAGGCAGATGGGAAACTGGGGGCTCAGGCACACTTGGCCCCTGCTCCCATACCCCTTTATTCCCATCTGGATTTGTACTGCTGTGAGGAGATTTGCAAACTGCCTAGAGGTTGGAGAGGCAGTTGACTGAGGAGAAAACAGTTTATGTAATAGAGCGGACCTAAGTGTCAAGAGCGATCTGGGAAAGACTTTTGTCTAGGGCTGGTCTGTTTCTTCCTCTGTTGAATGGGGTATAACCACTACCACCAGCTGCCTCATTTGCCCTTACCTGGCCTGGCTGGTAGGAGAGGCATATATAAAGGATCCTAGCTGCCATCATCAAAAAACTTTTCCTCTTCACCCCAGTACTTGTTGGGAGCAAGCAGAGATGTGTAATATAGCCCCCTTCCGCCCTATTACCAGCAGTCACACATGTTGGGCTGGAGCCCCAGTTCCCTGTAGTGGCCATGGGCCATGCTGCAGCCTCTGGCCCATTTGCCCTCACAGGCTCTTCGACTACCGGGGCCGCCTGTCACCGGTGCCAGTGCCCAGGGTGGTCCCTGTGAAGCGACCCCGGGTCACAGTCCCTTTGGTCCGGCGTGTCAAAACTACCATACCTGTCAAGCTCTTTGCCCGCTCCACAGCCATCACCACCGGCTCAGCCAAGATCAAGTGTGAGTTACTGTATCTTCTTCCTAGAGAACTCTAACTTTTATCATTAGCAAAATAATAGAATTACATTTTTTTACATTGGAAAATAGATAAAGGAACAAATCTCCCACAGTTCTGCAGCTCTAACACAACCAAGTGAGTATTTTCATGTATTTTTAAGAGGAAAAGGCTGACTTTGAGGAGGAGGGGCTTGGGTTGGGCACAGAGTCTAGTGCTGTGACTCGGCACCCAGTTAAGAGATAGCATCATTCTTCCTCTTGTTAGGACAAGGCTCCATCCATACAGGCCCACTGCTCTGCGTCCACTCTGGTGTATACACATGGTAGTCAACATCCAGGAAATGTGATTACAAAAGACCCACATGTACACACCTTAAAGACAGACCCCATGCTCAACACAAGCAGACACAGGTTCTTGCTCAGGTACCAACAGAGGAGCACAGCACACACATGCACTCCTGACCATCCCTTTTCCCTTCTGGAGTTGAGAGGTCTGGGGAAACGATAACCAGGTTCAGAAGGGCAGGCTGGTCACTGTAGGAATGGTCTCCAGGGAGTCTTGGAGCCTTTTCCCTGTTGAGGAAGAGAACCAAAACAAAAACCAAACAAACAAAAAACTGTCTTTCTAGTTGACAAAATGAGATTGGGGTTTTGTGTTAGTATAAGGCCCCCAGCCCCTAGCTGACAGTCTTATTCCCCCCTCCACTCTCAGTAAAGAGCAGTGAGCTGCAGGCCATTAAGACAGAGCTGACGCAGATCAAGTCCAACATCGACGCCCTGCTGGGCCGCTTGGAGCAGATCGCTGAGGAGCAAAAGGCCAACCCAGGTCAGCCTCTGAGGGTCCTCACTCCCCATGTTCAGGGCTCAGGGCAGAGTGTGGGGAAGACAGTATGTGGGAGAAAAGGGTGGGAGGCCTCCAATCCTACCATCCGTACAGATCCCAGCCCTCCTGGAACCACTGAACTGAGTCCAGCTTCCACCAAAGGCTGTGTGTGATTTCTTGCC